TTTTAATTTTGACTAATTAAACTTAGCAGTGGCCATTATTTCTTCATTTCTGTAACATGCTTCTCATATATAATTAAGGTCATCCTTGAAAATATACGTCCCATGAAGAAAACCATTGCTGAGATAGTGTCTTACGAAGTGGAACTGAGGTTACCCCAGACAGGAATGAAACCTCTACCTGTATTTCAGCGAACAAATCAGCTTTTACAAGATATAAAGCTATTGGAAAATGTGACTCAAGAACAAAATGAGTTACTAAAGGTGAGCGGTTTATAATGATAGCCAACTTATTGGATGAAAATGTTCAGCAAAAGCTGGTTTTGTTTTCAGTTTTCATTGAAATTAATTATTATCCAGGAGGTGGCATTTGATATAAAAGCATCTTTTCTTGCTCAAATGGGGCTAAGGTTATTTTTCTTATTTCTTACCCTTGTTCTGGTGGAAGGTGTTAAAGCATAGTTATGGTTTATTTAATTCCATTCTATCGTTATTGAAGACCTACATGGGTAAAATGCTGTGGGAAGAGATTCAAGCTGAACAAGGCTTTTGCAACCTCTTGAGGCCAACAGATCTATAAAATATCATCACCACGATAACCTCTTATCCATCTCTGTCCCTTTGCCGTTGATCACCTCAGTTTATTCTCAAGCATGTGGTATAGGTAGTGTGGGCACTTTATCATCTTTAATTTAACATATAAGGATACTAGCATCAGTATGTTAAATAACTTGCTGAAAGACCACAGAGTTAACTTGTGTAGCAGTTAATTTGTATACAGATAGAAAAAGAATTTGAGTTTCTGAACTCCTGTGTCATTTCTCCATATTGGGGTCTCTCCCCTCTAACTGAAATCTTTTAGCTTCTTCCCTGAGGGTTTTTTGTTCTTGTTGTTCTGAAGTGTTATTGGCTCCCCAGTCTCAAGTCAAAAATCATCATTAATTAGAAATGACCTTTTTCTTTAGTTTGTATTCTTAGATCAACAACCACTCCCTAAGAAGAGAAAGTTGCTGAAAGAGCCTCAGATTCCACAGACTTCCAACCCTCTCTGTAGACCCCCAATATATCCTGCATTTCCTTTTTATTTGGGTCAGATTAGAGGTTATTTTTACTCCTTCATGACCACCACTTGGTTATAAGAAGAAAACTGCCATATCTTATTCCCTCTTATATTTCATTCACATTTCAGTGGCCACTGTGTTCTCCTAAAGATTAGGATATTGTACTCTCTGGTTTGAGGTTTAACTCATACAGTCTCTCTGGCCTGGCTACTGCTCAACTGATGTCTTTGCCTAACACCCACAGAGAGAAAAAAAGATCTAGCACTCAATGTATAATGTATTATTCTTTTTTTTTTTTTGAGCTAGGATATTGATCTGTTGCCCAGGCTAGAATTCAATGGTGTGATCATAGCTCACTGCAACCTCAAACTCCTAGGCTCAAGCAATCCTCCTTCCTCAGCCTCCCAAGTAGCTGGGATTACAACTGGGCACCACCGTCTCTGGCTAATTTTTTTTTGTTTTTCATAGAGATGGGGTCTTGCTATGTTGCCCAGGCTGGTCTTGAACTCCTGGCCTCAAGCTATCCTCCCGACTCAGCTTCCCAAAGGGCTGGGTTTACAAGTGTGAGCCACCATGCCCAGCCTCAATGTACTATTTTTAAATAATATAAAGAGAAGAAAAAATATAAAATGTGATCTATTATTTTTAATTATTTTTTACTTTATTGGTCTCCTGGTCAGGAAAATAACAGTTCTAACCATGCTTTAAAGTGGCTTCTTCACAACATGAAAGGCGAGAAATAGAAGAAGAAATTATATTTTGTGCCAAGTTACATATCAACCTATGCTGCTAAAATTTTCTATATTATTGTGTTGGTGGGAATCAGATGTCCCCTCATATATTACAAAACTAAATAAGCCAGTGGTAACTGAAAACTATTAGAATATGGGACATTTTCTTTAATTCTTACTTCAGATATTCTAAGTGCCCTTGCTGTGGAAAATAAGACAATTTACTTGTGTGGGGAGTAGTGGGATATAGTTCATTATTGAGTGCAGGGGAACAGGTGAGTGTGTGTGGTGAACTATTACTCATTTCTAGCCTGCAGCTAAAATTATGGTTAAATATTGAAGAAAATACCAGGAAGAATTTTGTATTGGCTAAAAACTTTGTAGTTTTAAAGGGCATTTTTGCTTCATTAGACTTTCTGACGAAGTCTGTTTCTTTATCTTTCATTATGCTTGATCATATAATTTAGTCCACAAATAGTTCTGAGCTCTATGACTCCCTTAACACAGATTCCAGATTCTGTTCTGGTAGGTTTTGCCTTATTCTGCAAATTCAGACTGCTCTTGAACCCACAACCTCTTACTCATAAAATGTACATCACTGATCCCAACGGGTACCAGGTGAGATGTGTCTGGCCGAAGAAACCCATCGTGATTCCAATCACATGCTCTGTCCCTTCTGAATCAGTAATGTCACCTGTCTGTGTGGAAATCCCCATGTGGAATATGTATTAAAATGGCATATGCGACGTGTAAGTAATTTCATAAAAACTTAGCAACTTCATGTTAACATGCCATAAAATGCTTCCCAGAACAAACCCACTAGACTGGAAATACTTCAGAGCAAGGTGTGTCTACTGAGACTTGAACTTCAAGCACTAGTAAAGCCCGAGGTGCCCTGGCATCTAGTACAGCAAGAAGGTCAGGTGCCAGCTTTGCAAACATTGTTCTCTATGGTTAGGCTATTATGTCCTATTGAAATCTGAATGGCTGCATATTTGCTGTAATTGATTGGAACTTCTGATGGGGGTAGAGGATGGAAATAGTCCATTAATCTAGTCCTCAGATTATGACAAAAATTCTTCTTTTGGGGGGTATTTTATAGGTAGTCATAAAACAGACTAATGAATGTGATGAAGAAATAGAACATTTGAAACAGATCTTAAATAATTATTCAGCTCAATTCTCCCTTGAACATATGTCACCGGACCAAGCTGCCAACCTGCCGCAAGTCCAGGTGAGTTTCTTTCATTCATACAGGTATGTTTCATTCGTCCATCAGTTCATTCAACGCTTACTAAGCCATTGGTATCTAGAAGCTTTTGTAGTGGTAGTTAATTTCCTACTGCTCTCTTCCAATTGAAGATGATTTCTGTGTGTATTTACTTTCCATTCCTATTTCATTACACAAGTGATTATATAACTGTCATTACTAAAAAATGATGAAAATTGTATCCCCTGATGTTTAATCAAGAGAAGCCTTATCTGTTTGTAGGCTGGGCAGCCTAACCTCAGAAACTGAGTCAGGGCTGCCATGCCTCCCTCCTTAATGGAGAGCTTTTTGAGTGCCGCTGGCCTCAGCTTGGTTCATTTTGGTCTGAGTTTGCTCTAGTACCAAAGAGGCTGATATAACACGGGATATTTGGACAATCTGACTTTCTGGGATAGAGGTCAGGCAGCGTGGGCAGGCTGGGCTTTAGCGGTAAAGACCCTGAACACTGTTCTAATGAAGAGTTCCATACTAAGCAGTAGTGCCATATGTTGGAATTAACAGTACTGTGGACTCAATTACAATGGTTTGCATGTTAACCCTCTACTGCTAGGGTTTCTTCCAGTCTTTGTTTTTGAATTCATATTTCTATAATGAGCAAAACCTGACTGTATGCTAAGGATTATAGAGAGCTGCTTTTTTCCATGCCATAAGTTGATGCAGTCAGGCAATGAATGTGGTGCTCTCAAAGCAGGGTTATACCGCTTGCTGGCTATAAGATCAAGGGCAAGTTATTTCTACAGAGAAGTGCAGAGATGTCCAAGGTGACACAGCCATTAAGTGGTGGAATCACTAATATAGACTCAGTATTAAAGATGCAATATTGTAAAAATGTCAGAATTCCTTTACAGTAAAAAATATGAGGACCCAAAAGAGCCTTTGTTTATATGAGTTATATCTACCAATACCGAAATTGAAACTCAGAAATGTAAAAGTATTTGTTTGGTTTATTTTTTAATAATAGTAATAAACCCACTACGTGTTAATAGAAATAATATTTTTAAAAATTTATTTTGTTTTTCTTTTAGAGATGGGGGGTCTCACTGTGTTGTCCAGGCTAGACTAAAAATAACATTTTTATTAAAGTAATTATATTTTCCAAAATGAAATTTAGTGGGAAGAGTGACATTTTTGTACATCTCTTTAATGTCTGGCTTAATAGAAGACAGTTAGATTCTCATCTGTTTCTGCATTGAGGCATACAGTTTTATTTGAAGTCTGTAAAAACAATCCAAGCTCTCAAAGACACATGCTTGGAAAAGGCAGGAATATTTTAATTATCCTTTTAAATAAGTGTGGACATTTTTCTTTGAAACTACACTGAAACCCAACAAGTGGTAGTTACAAGTTAGTTGTAAAATGGAATCTGAAGCCATGTCAAAGAACTTTACATGCTCTTACATAAAAATCCATTGGTCTGTCTTGTACTTTGAGTGGATCTTCTAACTATGAATGAATTTTTAAAAATAGATTTAGGGGGTTCAAGTGCAGTTTTGTTACATGGATATAGTGTAGGGATGTGAAGTCTGGGCTTTTAGTGCAAAAACCACGCAAATAGTGTTCATTATACCCCGTAAGTAAGTTTTCACCCTCACCCCCCTCCCACCGAGTCTCTAATGTCTATTATTCTTCTATGTCCATGCGTGCACATTATTTAGCTCCTACATAGAAATGGGAACACTGTGCATGATTTTATAGCATCATGCTTGGTCATTTGGAAAATATTGTTTCACCGAGTTGTGCAGATCTTTCAAATGTTAACACATTTCAGTAGGCAATTATTTTTAAAAAATTATATTTGTTAATATTAACATCTATCTCCAGAAAAATCTTTTGGTATTTAAGTTCATAATTCTAGTGTAGCAGCTGGGTTTTTTCCAACAAAAATAGTGTTCTATGAAAAAGGGTAGTTCAGCTCACAACTCAAACAGTAACATAAATACTTTTCCTCAACCATTGTACCTTGGTATGCAACAAAATATGCATACTTCCCATTTTTTCCACAAAGAATATTAAAAATACACATGGCTATGATTTGAATGTTTTTGTCCCCTCCAAAAATTCATGTTGAAACCTAATCCCCAATGCAACAGTATTGCAGGGTGTGGCCTTTGGGAGGTGACTGAGTCATGAGGGCTCCTCCCTCATGAACAGGATTAGGTGCCCTCATAAAAGGGCTTGATGGAGGGAGTTCACCCCTTTTTGCCCTTCTGGCTTCTGCCATGTGAGAACATGATATTCCTCCCCTCGGGAAGATGCAGTGTTCAATGTGCCATCTTGGAAGCAGAGAGCAGCCCTCACCAGACACCAAACCTGCTGGTGCCTTGATCTTGGACTTCCCAGTCTCCAGAACTGTGAGAAATAAATTTCTGTTCTTTATAAACTACCCAGTCACAGGCATTCTGTTATGACAGCGCAAACGTGTCTTTATCAAGGACATTCTTAAGTGAAACTGGCATTTTTTTTTTTTTTTTTGCTATAAACACATCACAGTGATGTATAGTTGGTGTTCCTGCCTTGATTCATATAAGGTGCCACTAGTTTTACCCACTGTTGCTTTCAGTACAATTGTCAACACAGTGAAGAAGGCAAATGTAATAACATTTTAGTATTATTATGAAAAGGATCTTGACCTCAGGGACTGTGGCCCCCCAGGCATCTGCAGATACCACTCTGAGAATGGCTGCTTTGTGTCCTGCTATGCCTCCATGGTGTTGTTAGCTCTGTAGACCACTCTGTTTCTTTAAGTGTTATTCTGATAGCGGAAGTATTCTTGTTGGGAGGCACTGTTCCTCTAAAGTTTAGTGTTTATTAAAAATGGAACACAAACCACAGCCAACTCAGATTTCACTCAAACAGTTGTTATGTGACAGGAATTTTGAGTTCCTGTGAATAGGGGCATTGGTGCAGGAATGTGCACAGTAGAGCCATGAGGAAACCCAGGCCTGTGCTCTGTCACAGGCTCGCAGCTTTGGACAAGTCACCTCTTTCTCTGGGCTTCAGAACTCTCCCTGTAGGTGGACACATGTTACAGTTCTCTGTCTGTAAAAAAGTTAATGATTCTATGAATGGATAGATGGAAAGATGGATGGACAGAAGGAAGGAAGAAAGGAGGAGGAAAGAATAGGGGTTTAAGAAATATATTAGGAACAAATTTCAAACACATGAAGGTTTCCTGAAAAGGAGCAGGCTGCCTTCTGATGCAGCTCTCACTGCAAGAGCTCAGGCAGGTTGGGTGACACTTCTCAGAGGTGCTGGAGAGGATGTTAGACTATTTGACACCTGCTATTCCTTCCAAATCTAGGATTCTATGATTCCGTAATCCTCTTAGACTGTGTGCACCTGCATATCTACCATGTAAAAGAACTCTTATTCGCACATATCAATAATGCAAATGTTAAGAGTAACATTGTGAGGCGTGGGATCATCTGTCCATTATTCCCATAGTTATTTACACTGCACGGTACTTTGCTTACTTTTTCTGATTTGGTAGGAAGCTTTCACTGTAGAAAATGTAACTATATTTGATAATAATAAAGAAGGCTTCAAAAGCAATTATATAAAAGAATGAGATTTCTAACCTTGTTTTCTCTCAGTGGTTCCCAAATGTTAGTCTGCTTAGGAATTTGCAGGGAGACTTGGGAACATGCCTTCTGGGGACATGTGTTGTTAATATTCTGTGTGACAAAATGGGAAGTATGCAGAAGGAGCTTCTGTTGCATTTGCTGGAGTGCAGACTCCTGGGCCCTCGCCCCTGGGTGCTGGTCCCGTTGGTCCCGTAGCTAGAGCAGTGGCCTCCAACTCTGGCTGTCCAGCACAGTTACCTGTAGAGCTTTGTACAAGTTTCTGTGCTGTGGCTCGACCCCCAGAGATTCTGATTCACAAGTCTTTGTTTAGGCTAAGGCATCCTACAGCTTATAAAGCCCACACAGCACCTTTGGAAATGCAGCCTGGTTGGAGAGGAACTATACTGTATCAGAGGCTAGTTCCTGCTTTGCAAACCAAACATGTAGAGAAATCTTTATCCCTTGTACCAAAGCCAGCAGGCTCCTCGGGGCATGCCATGGCCTCAGACTTCCCAAAACAATGCAGACACTCTTTCTGCACAGGGAGAAATCAAAGATATGGAAAAGCAGATTCTGAGTTTGAACCAGAAAAAAGAAGACCTGTTGGTGGACTTGAAGGCCACTGTACTAAACCTTCACCAACATTTAAAGCAAGAACAAGAAGAAGCAGAAAGAGAAATGCTGTCAGCCATAGCACCCGAGGAGGGGGGAGTGGCAGAGAGGGACGCTTCTGAGTGGAAGGTGGGTATGACTAGGTGAATGCTGGTCCCACGTTCCACGAGCACGATGGGTAGTATTTTTCACCTGAAAAAACTGTAGCATCTATGTCTATGGCCTATAGGAAAGGAATTTTTTTTTAAAGTGGAAATACTCCACCTGGGGTTGTTTACCAGTGAATATAAATCCTCGGGGTGTGTCTCTTCTGGACTCAACCCAGAATTCTTATGCCTGAGTTACTTTCGGGCGTACTCGTGAAACCTCACCAGCAGGTGGGTTGAGCCACTCTTGGAAGTGTCCTCCTACAGAAAAGTCAGCCCCTTGCAAGCTCAAAAATGGCCCAGTGCCTTCCTAAGCTCACTCTGAATCCACTTCAGTGAATCAGGTTCTTTAATTGTTTGGTGAGGGGCCATGGGGCAGAATGCCAATGCATGGACCTGAGATTGGACAGCGTCAGGATATTTGGCTGGATGAGCTGAAAGGTGCAGGACCCAGAGGCTATTCACGTGGGTGGGCATCTCAGGTAAAGTAAGTAAAAAATTAGCTGCACAAAAATGCAGTCAGGCCAGGATCCCGGTGACGCTGAAGGGCAGCCCGACTGCAGGTGTTCTTGTGCTGTGCCTTTCAGGTGAACAGAAGAGGCTCCATGTCTTTCCTGGCAGCAGTCGAGGAAGAGGCAGAAGAAAGCTCTGTGAAGAGTGAAGTAAAGAAAATTATTTTCTCATTCAAGTTTGCTAGAACCGAGTCTCTAAAAGGAGGTCAAAGAAAAGATCTTAAAATAATGGAAACCTAAGGATTTTTTAAATTAATGTTGATATTTTTAAAGGATGACTGAAGTAGTTCTCTTGTGTTACTAACATTCAAGTGCATGTAAACCTACTTCACCACGGAAAAGTGGGATAAACGTAATTCAGACACACTTGTTGGCATAGGGGAGAAGATGAAGAAGTTCTCTGTTGTATTCTGACTTCTGAGAACTTTCTCTAAGTTTTGAGAGTATGCTGTTTGGTCGGCACTCCTGGTGTGATTTTTAAAACTTTTTTTCCCTCACATTTGAATTACTTTTTTGGTCCAAAACAGAATTGCCAAGGACACAAAGAGTTATGTTAGCCACTAACACTATGAATTCTTACAACTTTATTATAACTGGTTGAATGAGACATTTACAGGTGTCCATCCTGATATCGAGTGCCATTTCATACTTTACAAACAAAACTTATAATGGGTGTTATGCCAAAAGGAAGAAAACTGAAGCAAATTAGTTTTTCTGACTCCCATGTAACCACTAGCCATATTTTATGCTCGTTTCATAGATTGTTAAATAGCGCCATTGTCACACACAGCAGACCTAGAGTATAGCACCAGGACATGGTGGAACTGGCTGGTGGGACAAGGAAGGGTACAAGTTTACTGTGTTCTTTGACCCTCAGATAACTTTGCAAACTGATTATGCCCCTCTGTGGCAGAGACCATTATGAGAACAGAGGAAAGACCAGGGCCAAAAAAGAGAGCACTTCAGTATGATGTTAATTTAAAATACATGTTTGCTTCTGAGCTGATGTTTACAGTATTTTTTGTTTATATTTGACAACAACAAAAAAATACATATTCATCAAGCTGGTTGTTTTAATTGACAAGTAGAAATTATATATATTTATGGTGTGCAACATGTTTTGATACAGTATACGAGGGCTGTCCAGAAAATATCCAGCCATTGTTAATATAACAAAAACAGTTACATGACTGGATACTTTCCGGACAGCCCTTGTCTGTATGTATACATTGTGGAATGGCTGAACTGAGCTAATTAACGTATGTGTACTTACCATTTTTTTGTGGAAAATGGTAAACAGTATGGAGATACCTCAAAAAATTAAAAATAGAACTACTATATGACCTATATAGTAATCCCACTACTGGATATATATCCAAAGGAAATGAAATCAGTATGTTGCTACTCTCTTAGCAGTTTTTAAGTGTGTATTAACTGTAGCCACCACGATGTACAGATCCCTTGAACTTACTCCTCCTAACCGAAATTTTATGTCCTTTGACAAATGTTTTCCCATCCTCCCAACCTCTACTTGCTGGGAACCATCATTTCACTCTCTAAGAGTTCAACTTTTTTTCACTCCACATATTAGGGAGATCACATGATATTTGTCCTTTTGTGCCTGGCTTACTTAACAGAATGTCTTCCAGATTCATCCATGTTATTGCAAGTGACAGAATTTCCTTCTTTTTTAAGACTGAATAGTTTTCCATTGTGTATATAAGCCACATTTTCTTTATCCATTCATCTGTTGAGATACACTTAGGTTAATTCTATATCTTGGCTATTGTGAATAATGCTACAATGAACTTGGAAATGTAGATATCTCTTCAACATACTGATTTTATTTCCTTTGGCTACATACCCAGTAGTAGGGTTGCAAGATCATATGGTAGCTCTATTTTTAATTTTTTGAGAAACCTCCATACCATTTTCCATAATGACTGTACTAATTTACATTCCCACCAATAGTATATAAGTGTTCTCTTTTCTCCACAACCTTAACACTTGTTATTTTTCATCTTTCTGATAAAGGCATTCTAACAGGTATAAAATGATATTTCACTGTGGTTTTAATTTGCATTTCTCTGATGAGTAGTGATGTTGAGAATTTTTTCTTATACCTATCAAGCTGTTATTTTAAAGATAGCATGTAAGGTTACATTTACCAAAGCAGATTAAATTCCTAAAGGACTGTTTTAAAGATCCCCTTTGTGTGACATGAGCTGCATCCCTACTTTTATTATTTTTAAAAATTATTTATTTATTTTGAGACAGGGTCTTGCTCTGTTGCCTATGCTGGAGTGCAATGGGCTCACCGTAGCTCACTGCAACCTCAAACTCCTAGGCTCAAGCAATCCTCTTACCTTAGCCTCCCGAGTAGCTGGGACTACAGGTGTGTGCTACCACACCCAGCTAATTTTTCTGTGTTTTGTATTATGGGATCTCACCCTTGCTCAGGCTGGTCTTGAACTCCTGGCCACAAGTGATCCTCCTGCCTCTGCCTCCCAGAGTGCTAGGATTACCAGCGTGAGCCACCGTGCCTGGCCTACGTCCCTACTTTTAAAAATATTTTTTAGGCTTCAGGAAGATAAACCACACTTTTGGGAACATGATTTAGTTAGCAAGAAATATAGATGAAAAATGGGGGGAGTGCTGGAGATAAGGGCTATGGTTACACTGCCTGGTAAGCTGAGTCTTGTATAAAAGAGGTGAATGAGTAGGGTGCTGGTTATGATGGTTGAAAATCACTTCTCTTTGCTAACCAATTGGTTACTGTGATAGAGTGGAGACAAGAAAGCAGAGCCATCTTCCCGGTCTTGGCCTGTACTGTGGAAGCATGACAAGGACATGGAGGAAGATGGAGCATCCTCGTCCTCTGGAACTATCGTTCAGGTAACACGGGTCCGACCAATCACATTTGGGCGTGGGGGCAGGGAGCTCTTTTTGCAGCTCTTTTTCTCCTCTTCCTCCTTTCCTTTAGTTTTCAATCAGTATCACCCAAACCTTTAAAACACCCATCTGTGGCTCAGATAAGAATAATAGAAGAATAAGAAGAATAGAAATAAGGGGTAGTAAAGAACTATCTTATTTGAAAGAATTCTTAGGGAGGGAACCTGCCTAGGCTGAATTTTTTTTTCAGTTGATAAAAATTGTATATATTTATGGTATACAACATCATGTTTTGAAATACATATACATTGTGGAATGGCTATGTCAAACTAATTAACATCCTCTGTCTCCTTCTCTTTTTCTGTCTCTGTGGTTACAGGTGTCCCCCAGCAGCCTGGCCTTTTCTTCTCTCGGTTTTCTCTCTTAATGATTTCATTTGCTCCCACAGCTTTGGTTGGTAGCTCTATAACAGTGATTCCCAAATAAAAATCTCTAGTCTTGACTTTTCCCTGAAATCTATTCCACATTTCTATCATTTTAATAGACTTCTCTTTTTGGATGGCATTTCTTCAACTCAAACCCATTTTTCTAACTTTCCTTTAAAGCTTGCTCTCCTTAATTTCTCAGTGTCTGCTAATGGCCCCACTATTTTCTCAGAAGTACACTTAAGAGTCCTCTTAGGTACTTCATTTTTCTCACTTTTCATATCACATCAGTGGTCAAATGATGTCTACTCAGTGCTTACAATCTCTCCTTCTTTCATGATTTTTGCCATCATCCTATTTCAAGCAATTGTTAGTACTTCTCTAGACTTTTGGGATAGCCCTCTAATTGGTTTCACAACCTCCATTTATTTTTCCTAATACATCTTGTAAAATACTAACTGATGACTTTTCCTAAAACAAATCATGCTAAGCCCCACCTTAAAACCCTTCATGGATTCTGATTATCTACTGAGTAAAATGCAAACTTAGCCTGGCATTCCAGACTTTTCATGAACCCCACCTACCTTTCCAATTTTATTAAAGCTTTACCTTTAATTTTCAGTCATACTTTTTTGATAACAGTTACTGTTTTCAGTAGAAGGAGCTGAAAAGATACTAACATTTTGTTAGGAAATGCTAAATGCTTTATATACGTCACCTTATTTAATAATCATAAGCATGAGTTTTATTTCCACTTTAAAGGTTAAGTAACTGAGATTCAGAGAGTTCAGATTAACTTGTCCAAGATCATGAAACTTCTAAGTGGAGCAATCAAGATTGGTTGGTTACAATATCCATATGCTTCCAGCCACACTGTGGTAATTACTTGTATACATGTCATTTTCCCATTGGTTGACCTTGTTAACCTTAGAAGTAGGATTGCTGGGTCAAAGTATATATCCATTTAAAATGTGATAAACATTGTCAGACTACCTTCTAGAAAGATTATAGCAATGTTACTCCTCCTAGGAATGCATTGAAGTGCTTATTTCCTGACTCCAAACTGATATTTGATATTGTCAGCCTTAACCAAATTTAGCCAGTGGTTTAAATTGAATTTATATTCTAAAAATGTTGAATATCTCTTTAGATGTGTGTTAGCTTTTGTGACTCATCTTTTATGAATTGCTTGTTCATGCCATCTGTTTTTGTACATAGGGGTTGATATTTTCCTTACTCATTTATAAGAGTAATTAATATTTTAAGGATATTAATACTTTATAAATCATTATCCCAGTTTGTCATTTCTCTTTTACTTAGATTATGTTGTCTTTTGCGGTTCATATTATTTTATTTTTTTAAGTTGTCAGTACTAACATTCTTTTCCTTTCTTACCATGCTTTAAAAGTTCTTCCCCACTATTATAATTTTTATGGCATATCTTTTACATTTCAATATTCGATACAATTAGAATTCATTGTTTGGAGTGAGACAAGTTATATTTTTCATGAAATGCTTTGGTAGTTGTTCCCAAACTTAATAAATTCATCTTTTCCCTCATTATTTGAAATGTGGCCTTTATCATGTAATCTCATTTAAATTCTCATTGGAATCTACTTAAGTACCTAATTCTCTGGATTCCTTTTGTGCTCATTAAGAGGAGAGTTTTGGATAACTTAAGTCTTTTAAATAACGACGAACCTGATGAAGTTTATTTTTTTTTCTTAATGAACAACTATTTTCTAAATGTACCTGACTTTACTTGATGTTCTTGTGATTAAAAAGAAAAAGAAAGTAAATATATCTGACTTCTCTGGACACTGTTGCAAGTAGGTGATTTGTCAAATGAGCAGGCCCAGGAAGAGTGTCTCATGTGGCACCAGGGCAAGCAAGACCTTTCTGGAGCTCTGATTCTTCTCTTTGCAGGAGGCAGATGGGAAAATAAGCACCTGTGATAGTTCCATGGCGCAAATTCTTGTACCAGACTCACTAAGCACTGAGCAAGGCCCAGAATTTTCTCTGCCCAACCAATCAGAAGAGGTAAGTCTCAGTCAGTAAGAAGCCAGCTGCTCAGAGACCCGGGCTAGCACCCAGAGATGACCAGTTTTCTGTGTTCTACAATAAATACCTTGTACATCAAGGCGTATGTTACTTGTGAACTTGAAATCTTCCTATGTGCTGTCAAGCTGTAGAAATGGAAGATTCGTCATCAGATATGTACATAGAAAATAAGGGGCCGGTGCGGTGGCTCATACCTGGAATCCCAGCACTTTAAGAGGCTGAGACAAGAGGCTCATTTGAGGCCAGGAGTTCAAGACCATCCTAGGCTCCATAGCGAGACCCTGTCTCTACAAAAAATAAAAAAATTAGCCAGGTGTGGTGATATATGCATGTGGTCCCAGCTACTCAGGAGGCTGAGGCAAGAGGATTGCTTGAGCCCGAGAGTTTGAGGTTGTAGTGAGCTATGATTGTACCACTTGCACTCCAGCCAAGGTGACAGAGCAAGACCTCATCTCAGGAAAAAAAGAGAAAATAAGCATGTCATAGAACAGATAAACACTTTTCACTCGTTCACCATTTGCCAGCATGAAATGGTCTTTCCATTAATGACTACCTCTTAATCTGTAGATATAATTTATGAGGGCAATGAAAATGGAGAAGGTCTAATATTGATTAATTAATGGCCTATTACATAAGTGACATTTATATTTATTTAATCCTTAGATTATATAAGATAGGTTAATACCTATCATATGTTTACAAATGAGGAAATCAAAATTCAGGGAGTAAAAATATAGCTAGTAAATGGGAGGGGAGGAGGAATGAGACTCAGCATATTCCAATGTGCTTTCCTTATTTAGTTTTTATTTTTTTATTTTTTGAGACAGAGTCTTGCTCTGTCACCCAGGCTAGAATATAGTGACATGGTCATAGCTCACTGCAACCTCAAACTCCTGGGCTTAAGTGATCCTCTGGCCTCAGCCTCCCAAGTAGCTAGGACTACAGGTGCATGCCACCACACCCAGCTAATTTTTCCTTATTTTTTTGTAGAGATGAGGGTCTTGCTATGTTACTCAGGCTGGTCTTGAACTCTTGGCCTCAAGTGATTTTCTTGCCTTGGCCTCCCCCAGTGCTGGAATTATAGGCATGAGCCACTGTGCCCAGCCCAATGTGCCTTCCTAATTTGAAATCCGGTACCTTGGTGGCTCTCAAGACAGCCTTCCAGGGAGGCATTGTTTCCCAAGTTAGTTTTGGTGTTCATCTGGACCTGAAGCTCCATGGATCTCACTAAGTAGCTCCTGAAAAAGATGCTGGCGTGCTTTTGGTGCGTTTTATTTTTTAAGTGTTGCTTCTCTTTTCTTCCTTTATACTGAATTTTATTTATATATCTTTTCTCCCAATCTTTTGTCTAGTCTTAACAACAACAAAAAAAAATCAGATGTAGCTTCAATAGTGTTTAAGCTTCAGTGGTCACTCTGTGTATCTGTTTCCACAAATGTGGATGGTCTTTAGGGTCTTCTGCCATGACAATGTGGATAGTAGGTAATGATGACAATGAAGAGGAGGAGAAAGGGAAAGGAATATAATAAAATATTTACTGAATGTTTATTATGGGCCAGGCACAGGGATTTTACATATGTTACCTCTTCTAATCCTCACAACAGCTCTGTGAGGTAAGTACTACTGTTATCCCACTTTACAGATACAGAAATTGAGGCTCAAAGAGGTAAAATGCCCAATGTCATTTAGCTAGTAAGTGGCAGATCTAGGATTCAAACCCAGATCTTTTTGCCTCTGGGTTTAGAACCTGAGCTTTTAACTAGTAAGCTCCAGTGACACTGTCTTAAACTGATTTGCATATGTGTGTATTTGTATTTTCTTCCTAACTCTGAACTTTTGCAGAGTGGAAGGGGGATTAGTGGATTCTTGGTGCAGAAGAAATCGTTAGGTATTACCTTTTACTACTATAGGAGGGAGAAGCTAATCCCCTGATTAGCTTTTTACTGGCTCCAAGTCCCCTTTCAGTGACTGTCTTCCTGCCTTTTACTTATTTCCATCTCGTGGGCATGGCACATCACCGAAGACAGGGAAAGTTTGACCAATGGAGGCCTTAGGGGCAAAAAGGGAGGGAAAGTGGGAACTCCACAGAGACCAGCCAGCCAGTGTCATCAGGTGTGTATCAGCCTCTGCAAACCCTTTGTTTCAGAGGTTGGTTGAGTGCATTGACCAAATGAGAATTACATAATTTTTAGCAAAATTCTGAGTCATCCTTGACCTATATTGCAATGAAGAATGAATATTTAGGGAGAGATGTGAAACTCAGGTAGGCTTGACCTCACAGAGCGAACTGCCAGATGCCATTCTGGTGGCGTGTCTCGTACTTGCCCATGTGCAGTTAGGTATTGCACCTCGGGTAGGCAGTTTCACATTTTATAACGTGAAGGGAGTGGGGAGATGTGCAGGCATTTGTAGAATCGCTAAAATATTAAAGAGTAAATTTGAAGGTTTGGTATGTTGGCATGAAATGTAGCTATACCCAGAAAATTAACTTGCATTTTAACTGCTATCCTGTTGCTTAGATCAGTGATGTGTTGATGCAGAAATCAAGCAATGTGATTCACTAGCCGAGAGGCTAACACGCATACTAGTGGGTTGGTGAAATTATGTCAAGAATGTGGACTTGTAGATGCCAAGGAATATGAAATCAGGAATTGAATTCTGGTTCTACTTACTAGTTACGTGGCCATAAGCAGTCTGAATAGCCTCCCTAAGCCTCAGTTTCCTGATCTGTATACTAGGAATAATAATAGGTTTGTGGTGTGAAATAATAACATGGTGTATGTATCACACTTAGCACAGTGCCTGGCTTATATTCAGAGCCAGTAAGGGTCAGGTATTATTAATTTACAGCTACGTTGTACAGAGAACCTAATTCTTATTTAATAAGAAATACTTGTGGTAGTACTTTTTAGTACCCCCCGAAGTGTACAGTTATAAGACATTCATTTAAATAATTTCCTCTTTTAGAATTTGAGGATTTCATATAGACAAGATGTTTTTGGTATAAAACAGGTACTCATAATTTAAAAATCACAAGTAACTTGGGCACTTCTCAGAAGCAACATGCTGAAAATGGAGGTGGTGAGCTGATTAAATGTTCTGTGTGCTTGGGTTTCTTTGACTTTAAAAAGAGGTGGCTCAACTGATCCCTGGTGGGTTCCTCGGGCCACTTTCAGCTGTTGAATTTCTATGGTTGCAAATATTCTTTTTTTCTTCTATTCCCCTTTGGATTCTTTTCAGGTTCAAATAACTAGCAAATGAAGCCCAGATTAGTTACCCAGCTTGTTTGTTTCTCATTAATTCAGTGAATTAGTAAGAAAGCAGAGAAACTCAACACTGCCATTAAAAAATATGCATGACATAGAAGAGGTGCTCAAATAAGATTTTTGAATAAATAAAGACAGTTGGTAAATCTGTTCTTACCGGTTAATTAATTAATTAATATCAATAGTTTGTTATCTCAGGCGGCAAAAAGGGGATCCCAAAATCTTTGTCACTAAGATAGAGCAATATCTGAAAATGGGAAAATGATGAGATGACTAGAAATTAATGTTGAGAAGTGAAATCACACAACCGTTGCTTTTTTAAAAAACCAGGTTTTAAAAAGAATATTGAAACAGGCGAATCCAAGTGTAGCCTGGACTGTATATGAAGTTCAGAAAAAAACACAAGGTGAGGGAAGACTTCCTTAAGAAGGTGATGCTTAAAAATTATAAAAATAGATTAATGAAGGCAGGGGAGAAATAGCATTTTGGCAGAAAAGAGCAAATATATGTGAAGTTAATAGACAGTCAGAAGGAAAATGTACAACTCAGAGACACTTCTGCCAAACCAGCTTCCATCATACTCATCACTGTGTGTGAACATGAATGGTATTTTCATATCTTACATGTTTTTGTTACCACCTACCAATTTTATTCACTCTATTGCACTGAAAGTTCTGTGTTAGCAAAATTCTGCAAACATTGGGAAATGTGCATTTGCCTTGAGATAAGGTATGCATTCGTGAGCAATCCTATTAGAAGTGTGTCACTTGGCCAAAATTGGGCTTTAGTAGATGCTAACATTTTGTTCACAAAGTTTTATATAGAAAACATTGTATTTTATCATCATTATAATTAATAAATTATTTGTTGAAACCAATAGTTTTGTAGAGCAAAACACGAATCCTTATTCCTAAAGGAATTTCTCTAGAAGAATCAGTGTACTCTTTCAGTATTCTGGAGATGGAAAGTTGAATACAGTGGGAGGCAAATATATCCTGTATCAAATCGTCTTATACCTCTAAATTAAAAATATCTAATAGGTAATTACTGGAATACTTCCATTTGGTTTCTGGGAGAAATGTTTCTATTGGATTGATAAGCAACCCAGTTATTTCAATATAAAAAGAACACCCCACACTTTCTTTATACTATAAACATCTAGTCCTCGTCTCAGTAATATTTGAGTATCTAGAAGGTGAAAATCTTTTTAGGGTTTCTCTTTGAGGAATAGGAGAAAAGTTTCCAGATTACCCCACTGAAGTTCATTACTTGACTCAAACTGTTTTTAATAGAGAAAAGTTTAGATGAGTAACAGTATGTATGGTTTAACAAAAAAGCTAAAATATTTTATAATCTAACAACTTGAGAAGATGTTAGGTTAATATTAAGTGTGTGGTGTATTTCATTGTATTCTCACTGTTGTGTAAATATCGTTTTTGTTTTGTTTTGCTTGTTTTTCTATTTGAATAGAGTGCCCAGCAATGTAAGCATTGCTTAATCATGTGTCATGCAACTTTAAACACTTGCCACTTCCCTGCAATGTTTCAGACACACACACGCCCACACACCCACATTCTCACCTGTCTCCTGGGGCTCACCACCTAATGAACTGCACGCCCGTTCGCTTCCTCTGTGCCCGGGAATACTGTACCTGTGTACATGAAGAGCGGCTGCTTGGAAACCTGTGGCACCAGGTCACGTGACTGTTGCTATGAGTGTGGAGGTGCATTTTTCTTTTCTTTCTTCCTTCTTCTGCCCTTCTTTTGTTTCTTTTACCCGGGGAAAATGTTGTAGGTTGTTCACAGGTCTTTGCAGGCCCAAGTCTGAAAACTTTGGACTCCTGGCTTTTCACCACTGGATTATCTCTGGATCTGTTGTAGGGTGCCGCACCTCCTGTCACGGCTGCAGCTCTGGACTCTTCTGACGGGCAAGGAGCCTTTGAGGCCACGGTGGAGCAAAGTAGGCCCGAGCCTGCAGAAGTCCTCCATGTCTGCAAGAGCCAGGTGGCCAAGCTGGAGCTGTGGCTGCAGCAAGCTAACGTGGCACTGGAGCCGGAAACATTAAACGCAGACATGCAGCAGGTGGTGGAACAAGAGCTGGTAGGGTGCCAGGTAAGACCGACGGGTCAGAGTTCATGGTTTGTCGGTTCACCAATCCCTGCCAAGACTGGGTGAATTTCTCTTAAAGCAACAGTGTGTTTCTTTTGGTTACTCTAACCCTTGCATTTATCTTGGCCTCAACTTTTAGTTCTCAGGGTAATTCTTCGACGTGCTTTATGTAAGCGGCTTATTTGGGGAGGCGGTAGTGGGGAAGAGCTCAGAATCTAGAGTCCACATCCAGCTCTGTCACATTCAGTGTGGACTTGGGGAAGTTCTCAGCCTCATTTTCCCATTTGTAGGCTATTTCATAGGATTTTTGTCAGGATTAAACAAGATAAAGTATATAAAGCAGTGTCTGGTATATAAAGTATATAAAAAGTACTCAATAAATGCTGTTAATTTTATTCATAATAATAAGTACTTAGAATATTCATCAGAAATGAAACTGAATGTCCTGATTTGCAAAATTACGGATACAGCATAAAAGGACTTTGTGACCATTTTATTAGGAATGCTCCTAGTCTGGCTTGGGAGGGGCAAGGATTTAAACTTTCTTGCCTTTAGTCACTTTGAGTAAAGGTTGGGATCTCCATATCCCTTGAGGGAGGGGCTAGAATGATGTCACTGCAACAGTGTGATTGAATATCACAACAGCAGAAGCATTCTAGCTGCTTGCAAAGGCCACTCCCCAGCTGTGTCAGGAGACCAGCCTTGGCCTTCTATCTCTGCCTTATTGGCTTGTTTATCTGCCAGAGATGAGGACATCCTCTTGTTTCAGAGTACTGGCCTGGCCGCAGAGAGCTCTTCCTGCTGCAGCTGGTTATGTGGTTGGGGGTAGCCTGCCCTTGACCTAGAGGCATGCATTCTCCCCTTCTTCTACTCAGGCCCTGGTCTTACAACATACAGGACTGCCTAATGGGACAAACAGGCAGATGGGCTGACTGGCACCTCTGACCCCAAAAGTCAGTTCTGGTGGGGTGGGTTCATTCAAATACTGGCGCTTCTGCTTGGCCTGGCTGATGGGGCGCGGGGTGGGGGGTGCTGTGAAAAAGAGCGTAATACGGCACAGCGACGCTACGCTAAACTGAACCCAAGATGTTGCAGATTTGGAGTCCCAACCACTTTTGGCCATGCACGATCTATTTGCCAACTGATTGTCCACTGACTGGGTAGACCCCAGGCTAGTTCCTTGATCATCACAGGAATCCCGTCTTCGTTGCCACTTGCAGTGAGTTAGACTTGAAGTGGTGCCCAACCTTTTTGGTACCAGGGACCAGGTTCATGGAAGACAATTTTTCCACAGATTGGGGGTGGGGAGGCAGAACTCAGGCGGTGATGCGAGCGAGCGATGGGGAGCAGCTGTAAATACAGGTGAAGCTTCCCTTGCTCTCCTGCTGCTCACCTCCTGCTGTGCAGCCTGGTTCCTAATAGGCCACAGATCTGCACTGGGGACCACAGAGTTAGAGGATTTGGGGGCCGCTCAAGGAAAAGGCATGACCACCAGGTGGCAGAAGCACCCAACAAGCTTTATTTGGACAGTTTTGACAGGATTGTAATTATGAGGGACCAGGAAGCTCTTTACGGCCAGAGACCTTCCAGAGGTGAGGGTGGGGCCACCACCCCGAAGGCGGGTAGAGCAAGGGAACTCCCTGGGGCCAGGAGAACTGGAGAGGGGGTTCATGTGTCTAGGTGATGTCTCAGCACAATGGAGGGTCTCTGGGTCAGAGAGCTTGAAGGGCGGCACAGGCTTGGGATTTTTTTATACTCCCAGGGTTTGTCTTATCCATGCTGCAGATGTCAGGGGCAGTTTGCGGGGTATGCAAAGCTGGCAGGCTCTAAATGTCTAAAAATATGCTTTTGGGGGCTGTATTTAAAGCCATTGAATATGTAAAAATTTGAGTTTGGCACTGGCAGGCTTTGAACTAACAGTTCTGACCTGCTGTGAAAAAAATAAATGACAAAGGGGCCAACATATACAAGCCATCTTCGGCTCATTTATATAACAATATAACACATAAAAGTTAATATTGAAACATATAAAAAGCCTTAAAGTGGCCTGGAAAAACATTCCCAGTGGGAAAATGGCCAAAGGACCGGAGCAAAGAGATCATCAGTGAAGAAAAATTATGTTTAGTAATTTAATATTTGAGAAGAAATGTTTAGCCTTGATTATTAAAGACATGTGAATTAAAACAGCCAGTGTTTTGTTTCTACTTTACATCAGCAACAATTATATCATCCTGGAAAAACTCTAGAAAAATTGATCCTCTAACTAACGTCTGGGAGTTCTAATTGGCGCCGTGTTTTGGGAGGTCAGCTGTCAGCATGTAAAATGTTCACCTTTTTTGAGCTAATAATACCATTACTTTAAATTTACTTCTAAAAATTATCCAAAATGAGAGAAACTATTATGGCAGCAGTAATCACAAAACTGAAGAATTGGGAACAGCTTAAAGGGGTAACAAGAGGGAAGTTAAGTGAATTATAGAATATCAATTGGCAGCTATTTAAATGAGAATAATGAAGCATATGTAGACACATGAAAAAAGTGTATATAAAATAGTTAAGTGGGAAAAAAAAACCATAAAATTAGAGTACACTTTGTTTTTAGCCACTCTAAAATCTATGAGTATATATTGTTTAAGCTTAATAGCATCTATGGAGGATGTAAGTAGGTAGTCCCCCTTCATCTATGGGGCATACATTCCAAGACCCCCAGTGGGTGCCTAAAACCTCAGATAGTACCAAACCCAACAAACACTGTTTTTTTTTTTTTTTTTTTTTTTTGAGACAAAGTCTCACTCTGTTGCCCGGGCTAGAGTGCCGTGGCATCATCCTAGCTCACAGCAACCTCAAACTCCTGAGCTCAAGCAAACCTCCTGCCTCAGCCTCCCAAGTAGCTGGGACTACAGGCATGCACCACCATGCCCGGCTAGTTTTTTCTATATATTTTTAGTTGTCCAATTAATTTCTTTCTATTTTTAGTAGAGACGGGGGTCTCGCTCTTGCTGAGGCTGGTTTCGAACTCCTGAGCTCAAATAATCCGCCCGCCTTGGCCTCCCAGAGAGCTAGGATTACAGGCATGAGCCACCGCGCCCGGCCAACACTGTTTTTTTTTTGATCTGATAACACAGACAACTACAGATTTGGTATCCCTTATCCAAAATGCTTGGGACCAGAAGTGTTTTAGATTTCAGAGTTTTTTAAATGTTGGAATATTTGTATATATATAAGATATTAATATCTTGGGGATGAGACCCCGGTCTAATCATGAAATTCATTTGTGTTTCATATACACCTTACACACATAGACTGTGTGTTTTACTAACACTAACATATCTAACATTACTAACATATCTTTAGTAATTTTGTGCACAAGACAGCATTTTGACTGTGACCCCTTATGTGAAGTAGAGTCTAGAATTTTTCATGTGTGGCATCATGTTGGTGCTCAAAAAGTTTCAGATTTTGAATTTTTGGCTTAGGGATGCTCAGTGTATACTAACTAACAGGCCAGGTAGCATAGATAGCATGGATACACTGGGCAAAGGGATGATTCGTGTCATGGGTGGGACGGAGTGGGACGGTTCAAGATTTCATCATGGTACTCAAAATGCCATGTCATTTAAAATTTATGAATTATTTATTTCTGGAATTTGCCATGTAATATTTTCGGGCCATGGTTGACTGCAGGTAACTGAAACTATGGAAAGCAAAACCACAGATGTTGGGGGAGACTACTGTAGTTTGCTTAGATGAAGGAGCTAAAAGATATATTATTTGAAAATTTGTTTTAAGGATAGTTTTTTCCTTAAGTTTCTCTCAAGGAACTGAGTTTGTTCTTAGTCATGCACTGAGTTTTAGTGCAAATGATCACAGTGCTGGAATGTGGGCATGAATGCCACTGCTGTGTGCCCAGCCAGTTGGCGTGACTGCGTGGGCTTCCGAGCCCCAGGAGAGGGCAAACTTGACCTGTTGTGGAGGAATACAATGACCGTGACTTACTGGGAAACTTACTTCATCCAGCTGATTTATTTTTAGACTTCTGTGTAAATTGGCCGGTTGCATCAATGACTAAATGATTCAGGTTCCAAATGATTTCTTCCGGGGTGGTGTTCTGATAGTTTGGAGGCTTATTTGGCTTGAGAAAGAGAAGGAAAAGAGCAAGGGAAGACATTTTCAAATAGTTGTGTGGGATTCTTTTTTTTATTCCTGCTCAGCACTTGGATTGCGACATGAAAGATTAGGAAGGTAAGAGAAAAATAAGAACAGTCGGCACCTTTTAAGCACAGACTATATATCAAGCACTGGCCAGAGTACATGGATTTAGCTCATGCTTTTAAGAAAAAAGCACTCTCCAAACCCTGCTTTCCTCTAAACTCCGCAACAGTCAACAACACAGAAGACTTCTGTTACCAAATGTGGGGTTTTTCCCCATAGACCAAACGGCAGACACCAGCTTAGTATCCTTTAATTCAGGTGTGACGCTATCTACCTGGAGATAGTGTCAGATGCCACAGGGTGGGGGCTCAGTCCCCAAGGCTGTCCCCCCTGCCCCAGACACTAGTCAAAAGTCTGGACCGCTACAGCTTCTGACTGACTGGCTTCAAGTTGCAGTTTCCACGACCCCCTCCCTCTTTGGGTTCGATTGATTTGCTGGAGCAGCTCACAGAACTCAGGGAAACATGTTTACCAGTTTATTATAAAGGACATTACCAAGGATACAGATGAAGAGATGTGTAGGGCGAGGTATGGAGGAAGGGGTGCAGAGCTTCCATGCCCTCCCTGGGTGCACCATGCTCCAGAAACCTCCACGGGTTCAGCTATCCGAAGCTCTCTAAACCCAGTCCTCTGGAGTTTTTATGGAGGCTTTATTACATGGTCACTGTTGACAACCACATAGAAATGTGGTTGTACAAAAAAAACGCATGATCTAAACGCAGCAAAACCGGTCAGTTCAGATTGTTCTTGGCCTCTCTGCAGCATTCCCTCCTCCAGGGTATGGGGCAGGACCCTCTCTGGAATGAGGGTCTTTTGACCCACAATCAGATTAGAGTTCTTCCTTGGCCAGGTAAAAGGAGGACACGAGCAGGTCAGAAAGAGAGATTCTGTCTCCTGAGGTCTAAGCCCCCAACATCACAACAAGGACTATGGGAGTTATGAGCCAGGAACCATAGATGAAAACTAATATATATATAACACCACAACTCATTAACTCCTCACAATGACCCTAGAGGTAAGTTCTGTTATTATCCCCATTTTATGGATTACTAGAGGCAGACTCCTACAAAGTAAAGTGCCCATGTTTACACAGCTACTAAGTGGGAGGGGATCCAAACCCAGGTGGTCTAGTTCCAGCACTGTGTTCTTAACCACTGTGTTCTACGAGATGCATTCTGCTGTGCTTTCTAAAGTTATTATAGAATCATTCACTTAAATTATTTTAGAAAGTGACATCTGCAGTTGGGGTTGGTTTGGTTGCATTCCTGCTGAAAAGCACAGGAATTATGTAGAAGTTTTTGTTTTTCCGAAGTCCCTTCCATCCTATGTTTCTGTCACTTCTTGTATACGCTTAGGTAAAAAGAATAAGTCTGACTTATTTTGGGGAACAATACTTGTTCAAGACCAGTGCTATGAATAATTAAATGATTTTATTTCCTAGGCTATGCTAACAGAGATTGAGCGCAAGGTTGCCTGTCTGTTAGAGAATTGCAAAGATCAGGGCCTGGGAGATAGTGGAGCCACTCAACATGAGGCCGAAGCGCTTTCCGTGAAACTAAAAACTGTGAAGTGCAACTTGGAAAAAGTCCAGATGATGCTTCAGGAGAAATACAGTGAGGATCAGGTAAAAAAAAAAAATGGCTATGTATAGACATCCACGTCAATGTATATACATGGCAGACCCACCAGAAGAGAACTCTGGGTAGAAGTGATGGACGTACTTACAGAGAAACTATCCTAAGTATAAAAGAATTACTCATCTTAAAACTGTAGATAGGTACGCTGGGTTTTGTTATTTTTCATTTTACTATGCAGTTTTCTTATCTAGGTTTTTGCTGGTGATAGTGGTGGTTTGGTTTGGGTTGGTTTCATGGGGTTGAATGTTCTTGCTGGTAATGATGTCTAGTGTAAAGTTTCTTCATAAAAGAAAGATGTGTTTTAAAGGAATGTTGTGATTCCAATTGACTGGACAACGAAGCCTTTATAGATAAGATTAAAATTTGACGTCAGAAACACATAACCTGTTTCCAGGGTACTTTTATTATTCATTTACAAATATTTATATAAACTGATCAAAGTATCATACAGTTAAAGTGTTCTCATTTTTAAAAGCATTCTGTGTTTATAAATGCAAATGTACATAGCTATGAGTAGGATATTACTATATAAGATTTGCATCCATACTTATGGGTGGTTCCTGGAGACTTAACATTCACAGAAATAAGATTGGCTGTAGATACACAGGCCATATAGTTCCCCTTTCATCCTAATATGTTCTCTCTTTTTAAAAAAAATCTACTTTGGACATAGGGAAAATGTGAAGTTATAAGCATAATACTGTTTCCCGTCTTGATATTTTAAAAATTTTGTTCTTAAAGTTAAAAGACAATAAGTTTCCTTGCTTTTAGTAATTCATTGGCTGAATTAGGTTAAGGAAATAAAATAATCACTTCATCAAATGTAGCAGTTATTGAAGTTGTTATGAAATAAGTACATTAAATCATAGTATATAATTATAATAAGTAGTAAAATACCATCAATACTTTATATAAAACTTTCCCATCATATAGTCCCCATTAGAATTGAGATAAAGTGGATTTTTTTAAAAAATAGTCTGCCATCATGAAATTTTTTACAGCATCCTACCATTCTAAAGAAACCTTCAGAGCATCAGAAAGTACTCCAGCCAGTTAATCTTTCCAAATTGGAATCCATTGTAACTGAAAGGCCACAATTCAGCAGACAAAAAGATTTCCAACAGCAACAGGTAATTTCAGCCTCCAACAGTTGTAAGGACAAGAATAAAGCTATCTATATGGAATTTAGAATTTCCCTTTGGACTAAATACTGAACTGCCATTGGGAGTGTCAGCTTATGTAACTGTTTCAGAATGTGTTTGTGTCTTTTTGGTGTTTTTCCATATGTATAATGTAGTCTAAATAATAGTTATTGTGTGAATATTTTAAATAGGGTTTTTTGGGGGGGTTTTGGGTTTTTTTTGAGACAAGAGTCTCGCTCAGTCACCCCTGGTAGAGTGCAGTGACATCATTATAGCTCACAGCAACCTCAAACTCCTGGGCTTAAGCAATCCTTTTGTCTCAGCCTCCCAAGTAGCTGGGACTGCAGGCACCCACCACAACACCTGGCTAACTTTTCTATTTTTAGTAGAGACGGGGTCTCACTCTTGCTCAGGCTGGTCTCGAACTCCTGAGCTCAAGCAATCCTCACACCTTGGCCTCCCAGAGTGCTAGGATTACAGGCGTGAGCCACTGCACCCGGCCTTTACGTAAGTTTTTGAGAAGTAAAAGTTAAGAACAAGACAGCAAGAAAGAGAAATAGTAAATAATGATTGAGGAATTGTTTTCAAAATTATATTATCTCAACAGAAGAAACCCTGGGGTACTAATCCAAAAACTTGATTGATTGGACCATTTGAATCTTATTCAATTATAGGTTCTGGAGTTAAAACCAATGGAACAGAAAGATTTAATCAAATTCATAGAATTTAATGCTAAGAAAAGGTGGCCCAAGTATTGCCAACATGATAAAGATACAACTCAGGAATCATCTGTAAGGTAAAACATTATAAAATAGTTGGACATTCAGTGGTTTTATGGTTGACAAAATTAAAAATGTTTCTTTTAAAATTGCTCATAAAACATTGTCTGCATATCATATGAAATTTTTTATATTGACTGTTCTTTTCACCATTTGTTCTTCCTCAAAAGCAACCAGGCATCTAGCCCAGAAAATGATGTTCCAGACTCGGTTTTGTCACCCCAGGGCCAGACTGGAGACAAATGGCAGTATCTACATCATGAACTGTCATCAAAGATACGGCTACCTTTGCCTCAGCTTGTGGAGCCTCAGGTCAGTCTGCATCCATACTGGGTGTAAATAACCTGTTTATCTTTGAAACTCAGAAAGCATGCATTAAATAAACATGTATGTTCTGCATTAGGTAGCAGTTTATTCTCAAAAAGCAAAGACGCCAGGTGGGGTTTTCACTTGGCTGACACTCTTTCTCAATCCTGGAGACCTGTAGTAGGGTCCCCGCTTTGAGCTTCTCTACCACCCTGGGCTTCCCAGATCACGGTTCTTACTACACCGTCCACCGTTTGTTTGTATTTCCTATTGGATGGCCTGAGAAGAAGGAGCGCATCTGCCTTGAGTGCCTAGCACAGTGCCCTGGGACATCATAGACCCTCAGTTACAATTTGTTGAGTGAATAAATGAATGAATAATATGTGTTTTAAAAAATGCTTTATAAACTTATACAGCACTATATGAGTATCATGCATTCATCAAAAGATTCTTTAGAATCTACTCTGTGCCAGCCCCTGTGCGAATGGCACCTGTTAATCGGTATTCTTTCCACACAGCGTATCACTGCCATTACAGGTTTATTCAGACTGGCCACTATGCCAGCTGCTGCTGGCTTTCCGTCCAAACAGGGAGCAGGTGAGCAGAATAGCGCCGTTGCTCACAAGTCCCAGGCTTTTGCCTTCCACTGTGCACTCAGACCACCTGGGCAGAGGTTGCCAATGCTTTCCCAATTCCCCAATCTGGTGGGAACTTTTTAGTTCTCATCTTTTCTGCTGAGAACCTTACTTGACCAATTAAAGTTGAAACAAACTTACTGGCTGGGCTTTAGTCATGGTTTCTCCTTGTTATACACACCGGAACATGAGTATAGGGCTCTTTCAAAGAGTAGAACTCCATTCAGCCGTTCTTTCCCCAAGCAGAGTCCTCTGCCACCCCACCCTATTTCTTTTTATATGTTAGCTTTCCAATTTGAGAAACTAACTGTATTATTCTCCCTTTGAGAATCACAGCTCATTTTCATTACTTACTTAGCTTTTCAGTTAACAAATCAAGATGCAAACCCATCTCTAGAGCTGACTTCTATTCTAAGAGCTGTACCAGGAGTCAACTAGTAAATAAACAGTAAATGGACTAGTAAATAAACAGGTAATCTTGTATCATCAATATCATTGCCACTAAATTGGAAGATTAGTGATTTTATTTCATTTCTCAAAGTACGTTTTCCCCCTCATTTTGATATCTAAATGGATCCTCAAGTGTCTAAGCATAACCAGTCATGACTTTTCAAAGCTGTCTAAAATAAATTTAATTTAAATTATTTTTTCTTATGAATGATAAGATAGACAAAAACTCTCACCGAGAAGGTAACTGGGAAGACAGGGTGCTAAGGCATTTTTGCTATTTACATTAACAGCAGCAGGGGGCTCCAGCTGTCACTAATAGGGTTTCCCTGTGTCAAATAGGTTGCCACAAATAAGAGTATTCTACCCAGTGTGAGCATGTATAACTTTAGATACCCAACAACTGAAGAACTGAAAACCTACACCACCCAACTTGAAGACCTGCGCCAAGAAGCAAATAACCTTCGGATGCAGGTAGAAACTGTGTATTGTGTATTTTCCTCATTGCAATAACATAGAAAAAGAAGGAAGATTGTATATCATCGTTGGGAATTGGTTGCAATTTTCTTCATTGAACAAGTAATAGAACACATGATGGAATGGGTCCTAGAATTGCAAACAGAATTTATCTTGCTTGCTAACTGATAAATTTTGTAGTGGTTGCCTAGAGCACTGTGTGTAAAGGATTCTGAGTCCAGGGTCCACAGGAAAGAAGATGGTGATTGATAAGTACTGCCTGCGGTGGTGTTTACGACAGGAAGCATGAGGAAGGAAGGTGGGGAGGGAGTATGGTCACAGTTTCCAACCTTGGGGAGGCTTAACGCTCGGATGGTGTGCTGGGTAATGTGAGGTATCCATCAGAGGACAAGAGAAAACAAGGCCCAGATTGGGGTGATTACTAGCTGAGGCATGCTCCTAAATGACTTGGAGCTGGTCAGAGGTTCAAGGTGACTGTGGGTAAAGAAAAAGAGTTGGTTCCGACAGCTTATGCTAAAATACATCTGTGGCTCCCAAACTCACCAGGGCACAACTACACAACACCGGGGACCTTTGGAGTTGTATATCCAAGGGTGGCCCTGATTCTCGCAATCAGCCCATAAATGACACTCCCACCTCCCCTTGCTCCACAGCCCACCCCTGTCTTTAAGACACTATACCTCCTTTTTTTTTCTTTTTTTCTTTTTAAGAAATGGAATCTCCCTCTATCACCCAGGCTGGGATGCAGTGGTGTGATCATACCTCACTGCAGCCTTGAACTCCAGGGCACAAGTGATCCTCCTGACTCATCCTCCCCAGTAGTGGGGATTACAGGCATGGGCTACCGTGCCAGCCTGTACCTCCTCTTTCTAGTCAATCCCTTCAAGCCTCTCTTTTGTGTCTCCTTTTCGTTCTCCTTGCTGTACTCGATTTCACTAACCCACTTTCTCCTACATTAAATTATGGAGGGCAAGAAGCCATGGAAAGAGGGACAGTGAGATTTATCCAGGACCACACCTTGACCTGGATGTCCCTGCTAAGGAAGTCCTTCAACTCATTGACCTTTTAATTCCATTGCATAGTCAAAATACCTAACATTTCCTAAACTCGTTTTTCTCAGACTTAAAACTCTTATTTATTCTGCTACCTGGTTCACAAAGTGTTTGAAACATCTTATTATTTAAAAAAAAAAAAAAAGCATACCATAGATTGTAAACCGTGATGGAAACCAGGGAAAACGTAGGTTTAGGAAGCAAGGAATCCTAATAACTTTTATTTTTTTCATTTGTGCTGTTGGTTTAGGAAACCATGACAGAAGAAACATATATAAATTTGGATAAAAAATTATTTGAACTATTTCTGACCCTCAGTCAGTGCCTCAGTAGTGTGGAGGAGATGCTACAGACACCAGGGCTCTTGAAGGAGGATGTTTCTGCCCAGCAGGTGCACTACGAGGTAGGACGCGTCTCAAGCCCACGTGTTGGCCATTATAGCAGCCACACGTGAAGCCAGAGCCAAAGCCTGCTGGTCAGAGCTCATTTACATGTCTTCCTTCCTCTCTGCTTCGCAGACACTGGCTCTTGAGTTGAAGAAACTTTATTTAGCTATGAGTGACAAGAAGGCTGATCTTTTGAAAGCCATAACTTGGCCTGGCAAGAACACCAACTTGCTCCGTGAATGTTTTGACAATCTCCAAGTCTGCCTGGAACACACTCAGGCTACAGCTGCCTCTAGAAGCAAGTCCCTGAAAGCCGGCCTCGACTATAACCACAGTTATCAGGTACGATTCTGAGCCGACTTTGGCACTGTTTTAAGTTACAGCATGGACCCCTAATTTCTGTTAATTCCTATTCTCAGTAGCATGCATTACTGGAAATTGTTAAGGAAAACAGTGAGGCTCTCCTGTTGCTCATGGTTGGAGACCATTTGAAAATGAAGCCTTTTCTAAAGTCTTGGATATGAATTTTTTAGAATGAGCTAACATGTTTCTTTTCCTGAAAAGAAAATTACATTTAGCTATTTAATGATTGTTATAGGGGAGGATTCGTATTTAAATTTCTAAGCCAGGAGGAGCCATGAAAGTTTTTGAGCAAAGGAATGACGTCCGTGTATGTTTCAGGTAGGGTGGTCTGGCAGTTGTCTAAAGTGGATTCGAGAGGGAGAGACCTGAGGCAAGTAAACGAGTTAGGAAGCTACTAAAATTGTCTAATGAAAAATAAATGAAAATACAATACTACTTATGAATGAGTCTTACCCATAAAAAGCTTGAACCTGATCAAACTTCTAGAATCCAAGTAAAACAGGCACAAGAGAAGAATATGTTAAACAGCACTGTGGGGGTGCAGTCTGCCAAATCCAGACTGTGGGAAACTACAGAACAAATGACCCATTTCTTCACACAAATTCAAGAAACAAAAAAGAGAGGTGGTAGGATAGTCTGCAGACTAAGAGAGACTTAAGACATGTTAATCCAGCATGACACATGGACCTCATTTGAATCTTCATTGAAACCAAAAAGAAAAATTATAGACAGAGAAATGTGAACCCCGTCTGGATAGTTAACCATACTAAGGAATTATTGAGTTGGAGGGATTATGTTGTAGTATTTTTAAAGGGAGGAATCTTTATCTTTTAGAGATAGATGCAGAAACATATACTGATGAAATGACTTGATATCTGGGATTTGCTTTAAAATAGTCCATGAGAAGGGAGATAACATGAGAATTTCTCTATTTTTTATATGTTTGAAATTTCAAACGTTAGAAAAATCAGCGAAATATTGGGTAACAAAAGCCTAAATGAGATTGCTCAGTTTCCTGCATTTATCTTTTTTTATACAGAATGAAATAAAGCGATTGTATGATCAACTCATTAAGAATAAGACATCTTTACAACAGTCGTTGAATGAAATCAGTGGCCAGAGTATTGGCGAACAGCTTCAGGTAATCAAGTCAAAATAATTCGAACTGACCTAACCTGGGACCGATGAGCCTTGTATATAAGCTGTGCCTCTGAACCACTTCCCTCTGTGAGCACCTGCAAGGCTTAAGTAAATAAATCAATAAATAATGAAAACTATGTTGACCTTTTAGAAACATCTCTTAAAGTTGTACTTTCGGAAGCACACCATAGTAGAACAACAAGAGACCATTTTCACCTATCAACATCACAAAAATTTAAGTCTGCCCAGTGTCGGAAAATGAGACTCTCATCTTCTTGGTAGGGGAGCTTCTGGGGATCATTTGGCTATGTATCAGAATTTTTAGCATACATCCTCTTCCACTCAGCAATAATTTGACTTCATTTATTCAGCAAATATTCATTGAAGATTCACTATGTTCAGGCACTGTTCTAGGCGCTGGGCTTGCACTCTTCCTAAGAAAATAAGACAAGTGTATAAAGATGAATGTGTCATAAATATTCAAGGGTGGACCCGGTGGCTCTATTTGAATTACAAACTGTAAATAGCCCAAGAGTCCATTAAGAGCTATTGCTAAAGCAGTCTGCACCCTTACAATGGCACACCATGTGTCTGTTTCAAAGGAGTCAGATATGTGTGTGGTGGTTCGAAGGGATGCTAAAGAGCTGGTAAGCAGGGAGTGCTGACCTCAGGACAGAGTGCCATGGTGCAGTTCATTAAGTGTGAGAATATGCATATGTGCCTGCCTTGGTATATGCAAAGAAAGGGACGGTGAGAGAGGGGAACTGGACATTTTTCCCTTAATTCCCTTCCATACTGTTTAATTCTTTTTTAGAGAATGTGCCTACTTCTCTGACTTATTAAAGGGTTTTCTTTCTTGTATTGTCTCTCCCTTAGAAAGCAGATGCACATACAGTGGAGCTGCAGAACTCCGAGAGCCGAGTAGCCAAACTAAGAGACGAAGGGGAGAGACTTCATTTACCTTATGTTTTACTCCAGGAGGTTTACAAATTAGAGGTATGCCTGAGGGGAACACATTCACGCAGCACTATAGTTGGAAGGAGTGAGGCTTTTGTCTTCCACCGAGAGAGTGTAGAGTTGTTCTTCATTGGAATTATTTTCCTGGTTGGGTGACAATGCTTATGTGCACCTGCTCCTCTCTTTTTCAGGACGTACTTGACAGCATGTGGGGAATCCTGGGAGCCAGGTACACGGAACTCAGCAGCCCTTTCATCACTGAGAAGCAGCAAGATGCCCTGCTGCAGGGCATGGTGGAACTAGTTAACATCGGGAAGGAAAAGCTTGTTCAGGACCATTTACAGCAAACCAAAAGTAAAGTTGCTTTACAGGCTCAAATAGAAAATCACAAGGTAAGACCACAGGTCATTTGTCCTCTTCATAGACCCATAATCTTACGGTGTTTCTGAATGTGAACAGAAACTATCCATTTTCTTCTTCGGTGAAATATACAGCATTCATTCTTTTAATAAACATTTATAAGAGTGCTTGGTGTATACCAGGAACCCTGGTAAACTCTAGGAATAGGATTGTGAGTAAAAACACAGTTCCTTATTTTCATAGAGCTTTCAGCTGATTGAGAAGACAGATATTTATTGATGAATCTTCAAACAAATTTAAAATTAAAATTAGGACATGTTCTGTGAGAGCATTTAATAGAATAAATTGACTTAGAATAGAAAAGGCTTGAGAACTGTAATCGAAAGGAAATGTATTATTATATAGTATAACACTACAATAAATCCTTTCCTTTTTTCATTTAACAAAAACCTCTTGATCACCAGCTAAAGGTATGCAGTAATCAAGGTGGTGATAATAAAAAATGTATAAGACATTGTCTATACCTTGAGCAAGCTCATAGTCTAGGGCCTTTGGAAGGTAAAGCTTAGTCTAAGAAAAATTGGAGGGTAAATATTAAGGATAGAGGGGAAGAGGAGAAAATATTAATTATCTACAGTGTGCCAGGCCCTTTGATAGATGCTTTTATGAGCCTTTCTATGTATCTGTCCTTTTCAAGGCATAGGAGAAGGGATTCGTGCAATATGGGGATCCTTCCAGATAACGAAAGGAGACAAGGGATTGTAAATGGACAAGAACCACCTGAAGTAAAGCCTTCCTCTTTAAAGGTTCTTGAAGTACAAATATGGGAACCTTTGTGGACCAGAATTCCTATAAATGCCCATCAGCAAATTCCCTTTATTTAGCTATTTTGTTGAGAAGTTAGAGCCAGGGTTTAGGAGCCCTGTCGGTTGAATATGTGGGCTGCTTGGGTTTGCACATCTGTCCATCTAACTTATTGTCTTGAAATTCATCAACCACGTTGGCATCTGTCATTTTCTTTTTTTTTTTTTTTTTGAGAGATGGGGGCTTGTGTTGCCCAGGCTGGCCTAGAACTCCTGGGCTCTATCTCAGCCTCCCAAGTAGCTGGGACTACAGGCACATGCCACCATGCCTGGCTGGCACCTATCTTTTTGTAATGTTTTTAAAACTCAAAACAACTGATACAGAAAGATCTAGCTGGAAATTGAAATTGACTAACAATAATGTTTGCCATTTAAAATGGATTATTTTGTGGAAAATATTACTTAAGGATATTTCTTCATAATTTGTTAAAATTCCTTTAGTGTTCAAAGATTAAGGGATCCATTTCAGTTTTGTTTTCTCATGTATTTGAACTCTACACAGGAGTCCTGGAATTTTTGGATTATAAAACAAAATCCCTGGGTAAAAACTAGAAGTAACTTGGTTTTTTAAGATTTTCAGGCCGGGCGTGGTGGCTCAGGAGTTCGAAACCAGCCTGAGCAAGAGCGAGACCCTGTCTCTACTAAAAATAGAAATTAATCAGACAACTAAAAATATATAGAAAAAATTAGCCAGGCATGGTGGCGCATGCCTGTAATCCCAGCTACTCGGGAGGCTGAGGCAGAAGGATCGCTTGAGCCCAGGAGTTTGAGGTTGCTGTGAGCTAGGCTGACGCCACGGCACTCTAGCCCAGGCAACAGAGTGAGGCTCTGTCTCAAAAAAAAAAAAGATTTTCACAATTAATAATTAAATACTAAAACTTTTTCTATCTTACAGGTTTTTTTTCAGAAGCTTGTTGCTGACATGTTGTTGATCCAAACATACTCTGCCAAAATGTTTCCTTCTTTATTGCAAAAGAGAGAGACATTTTGGGCAGAACAAGTAGCAGAAGTTAAATTACTAGAAGAAAAGTCACGCCAACGTGGCGTGAAGCTGCAGAGTTGGTTGCAGGTATTTGGGTTACTTAAACTTTGTACTGAAGCTGGGAATTCCTGATTTTCAGCCACCACCTCCAGGTGTTGAAAACTAGTTATCATTACGCTGTAGTTAAGTGGGAACACATCAGTGAGGAATGTGGATGCCTGTTTAGTTCTGATTGCTACTCCCCGAAGGAGAGGTTGGCTGGATTTCTCATACACAAATTTGAGATGGCACGCCATCTTTCTGCCTTTTAGGTTTACGTATGAATAAGCAAAATTGTAAGCACTTTGAAACCTTGAATGGGATCATGTGGATGAAACAGTTAGTGGTTCAGACACCATACTCCTTCAAGAAAACAGGCTCAGCTGTTCTGTTGTTAAAATTGATTTGTGACAATCTTGTCTCAAAGCTAAGAAAAAAATTAGGCATGCATAAAGCTCCTTCTCAGTTTTAAGGTTTTCCCCTCTGACTTATTAAACTTTTAACAGCCAATTGCTAGCACATAAAGGAAATAAAAAAGAAATATTCAGCTCGATAATGTAATATGGTGTTATTTTATGCTAACAAAGTTTATTTTCTACTTAGTGTGTCAAATTGATATTTATAATACTATTTCATAGTATTTAAAAAAAGTAAGACTCCATGGGCCCTATAAAAGCCAAGTGACCCACTATGTGAATAGAAGTGTAGAGTTGTTCTTCATTGGAATTATTTTCCTGGTTGGGTGACAATGCTTATGTGCACCTGCTCCTCTCTTTTTCAGGACGTACTTGACAGC